CATTCACGGTGACCTCAGGTCCCTGTGAGGGAGAACCAGGCCTTGGTGGGGTCGGGGGGAGGTGGGTCGGGGAGCAGGGGAAGAGAGCTAAAGGCAATCTAAGTTTGCTCTTTCTCCACCACGTGGAAAGACTGAGGGGCAGGGCACCTCACCGCATCCTTAGTTTTGAGCACATTAAGAAAAACGAATTTTAAAAAATTGTAGTGAAAGATACATCCTATTCTAAGTTTAAAACGCTTTGGATGGGAGTGAAGATCAAAAGGACAGAGGGAAGGGTGCAGAGGGCCCCGAGAGAATCCAGTTCCCCCACAGGAATGAAGGTCACCCCACAGAACCAGACGACGCTTTTGCCTGGGAATTTAAAAAACTCTTCTCGACTGGCTGTGAAAAGACCGGGAGCATAGACGTGCTGGCTGAGCGAGGAAAACGGTCCTCCCGCCCTCTGTGCTTCTGGAACCTTCCTCCAGGCAAGGTCTCTGAATAACGGGGCCTCTGACAGCCTTTTGAGGGGAGCGGGGATCCCCAAGCTCAGAATGGTTCTTGTAATAATAGGAATACGTTTGGCTCTTCCTGGGTTGACAGTTGCAGGGATGGGTGTAAAAGCAAAGGCGGGAAAAACCACCCAGACCTTGGCACTCACCTGCGCTGGCCTCACTGCGATCCTCACCACCTTGAACTTGCATGGAAAGTACCAGTCTCCTTGAAAATGTCCTACACAGAGCCGTAAAAATTAATTTTTTAAGAATAAGTGAATACACATCTTTTTAATTTCTGGGTAATAAAATGAAAAGTGCACATATCCTTATGCTGCTAGAGAATATAGTCAATGATAATATAATTATAAACTAGAGGCCCAGTGCACAAAAATTTGTGCATGGTGGAGGGGGGGTGTCCCTCAGCCTGGCCTGTACCCTCTCCAATCCGGGATATTCTTCTTGCAATCCAGAACTGCTGGCTCCTAACCACTAACCTGCCTGCCAACCTGATCGTCCCTAACCAACCCTGCCTCGGCCCCCACCACCACGGCTTTGTCTGGAAGGAGGTACAGACAACCAGAAGATGCCTGGTCGACTAAATCTAATTAGCATATTACCCTTTTATTAGTATGGATGGTTACAAGACTTATCAGGGGGTGGGGTGTCACTTTGTAAGATATATCAGTGTCTAACCACTAGGCTACACTTGAAACTAATATGTATAATATTGTACGTCAACTGGGGGAAAATTAGAAAAAATGCTTTTATGTTTTAATATTTTAAATTTAATATATAAAGTAAATATTGATGCTATCTTCCAAAAAAAAAAAAAAAAAGAAAAGAACTTGTGTGAGTTGTAAGCTACACTAGCCACTTTATTCATGAACACCATATTTATTGAAAGAGCAACTTAATAAATTACATTTATTCAGACCTGGGTATTTGACAAGTATTTCCTCAAAAGTAAAGGAAACAAGTCTGTCACTTCGAAGAAAAGTTGGTGTTTGTTGCTGATGATAAAATTTGAGCTTTCAAGTAAAAAAATTCTGAATTTTTCGACATTTCTGGCTGCCACTTAGAGCTTGACCACTTCCCAGCGCTTTGCTGATGAAATGGGTGGTAATAATAACGAATGCGATTGCTTGATGCCGTGTACTGACATGGGCCAACACGCTGAAGCAATATTTTCCATGTGATTACGAAATCACACCGGGGTCAGAGCCCGTGCCAAGTGCCAGACGGGCCTGGGGGACTTCCCGCAACCACAGGGACATGGCTTATTGACATGGTTTCGCTTCCAGCTGCCGTGTAAGCACATTGCCGGCTTCAGTGTAACAGCAGACAATGCCCACCGAGACCTGAGAGTTACACCTCGCCTCTCCCTCCTCCAGCTACGGATCTGCGTGAGGCCTGATCTTCTTCACAACCTGTCCCAGCAGCCCGAAGGCAACGGTGTCAGAACCCAGCCCTCTTCCCCGAAAACAGACATCCGAGAGATCGGGAGGCAGGGAAAAGGCACTCTCAGAAAAATGGTGATTTTTCCATAACCATGTTACTTTATTTATTTAAAATATATTTTATTGATTTTTTTACAGAGAGGAAGGGAGAGGGAGCTAGAAACGTCGATGAGAGAGAAACATCCATCAGCTGCCTCCTGCGCATTCCCCACTGGGAATGTGCCCACAGCCAAGGTACATGCTCTTGATCGGAATCAAACCCAGGACCCTCCAGTCTACAGGCTGATGCTCTATCCAGTGAGCCAAACCGGTTTCGGCACAATGTTACTATGTGGTATTATTTTACGTTCAAGGGGATGGATGTCTGATAAGGTGAACGTGGGTGACCGTCGGGGTGCTGGCCCATGCTTACCGAGCAGCCCCCTGGGCCCGGGAGCCCCCTCATCTGTCGTGTGTGCCGGTTTCTCGGTGGCAATAGTCCCATCCAAGTTCACACGACCACCTGCCGCAGATCTGGGGAGAGACGGTGCGTGCCGGGAGCTGGCTCCCGCCCCTCTGATGGGACCGCCCGGGTTTTGTGGCGTTCTCCCTCCTTCTGGCATAGAGAGGAGCCTGAGGACTCGGAGAGGATGGGTCCCGGGACCTGCACCCTCCTGTCTGGCGAAGGAGTCCTGCCCCCATCACAAAAGCCCCTGAACCTCAGAGCCTATCATTCTTACATGTAAACATCCCCACATCCCTTCCCTGTGCCTGCCAACCCCCTCCCCCATCCCCCCCAGCGAAGATGGAACCGGAATCTTCCTATTCTAGATGCTTCTTATTTATTTTTTAAAAATAGATTTGATTTTTTACAGAGGAAGAGAGAGGGATAGAGAGTTAGAAACATCGATGAGAGAGAATCATCGATCAGCTGCCTCTAGCTCACCTCCCACTGGGGATGTGCCCACAACCAAGGCACATGCCCTTCACCGGAACCGAACCTGGGACCTTTCAGTCCGCAGGCTGACGCTCTACCCTCTGAGCCACATCGGTTTTGGCTCTAGGCCCTTCCTAAATGAACTTTTCACTTGAAGGAACAATTTTCGGGGATGCCTGCAGGGAGGGCTCCCAGCTGGGCCCAGCCTGGTCACCATTTAGTAGTTGGCCACCGCGTGTAAAACTCCCTTACATGGAGCCGTGACTCAGGCCGAGCCCTCCCCCTCTGCCCACCCCGCCCGCGTGGGGATGGAGAAGGACGACGCTCACGCGGAGGCGTTTATATAAACAAAATACTTTTATTTGAGAAAGAAAACGGCCAAGCTACAAAATCTCTGCACTCAGGTTCTGTCCGCGGCCACGCCAGAGGTCTGGAGGGGACCTCGGCTCCCATCGCGGTTAGGTGGGACCGCACGCAGCCGCCCACCGGGACGGTCAGAACAACAACAGCCCAGTATTGGCTCCAGGGGGTCCGACCCCATGTACAATGAGCCGGTGGCTAACGTGTCCCGTCACATGCCCGTCGATGTCATAAACAGGCGTCCAGGCGGGCGGTGGGCAGGTCCCGCCCGGGAGACATCCTGTGTGTAGAGGCCGGGGCCCGGCTGGTGCCCTCCCCAGCATGTCCTTGTTGCCAAGTGCACGGTCCCTCTCACCATGCGAGGGACCCCTGTCCGGCTCTGCCACCCACGGAGCTGGGTCACCCATGAACGCCAGGCACACGCGAAGCCCCGGGCGACTCTTAGTAACGGCGGGAAATTTGCCGTCAATCAAAACGCCTTCTCCGCGTGACCCAGCTCCACGCTTTCTCCCAGCCTCGCTCAGGCCCTGGGCCTCTGGGCGTTCTGCATCCAAAATACAAGAATAAAGCAAAACGGTGCTGCCGCGGCTGCCGAGCAGCGAGGAGCGGCGTGGCATCCAGACAGACGGCCGAGCCTCGCGGAGAACGAGGAGGGGGCCCCACACGCTCGCTCCGTTCACATCCGAGGTCCCCGCCCCCACCTCCCGCTCCCCACAGCGCGCGGACGCGGAGCCGAGATAAAAAATAAAGCTTTCTTGTTACAAATTACATTTTTTTTTTTTCTCCAGTGAAATACTTTTACAGTAAAAATAGCTGCTACATAAATCCCTCCTGGTCTCAGAAAAGGAGTTTGCATATTTTTCCAAAAATAGTATTCTTATTTTAATCAGAGTCACGTGGGGCTCGGGGGGGTGGGGAGGGGTGAGCTGCAGGAGGAACACAGACAAACTGGGAAACCAGGTTTGTGGATCCACGGGCTGAAAGGCATGCGTCGGCATGAGGAACATATGCCCTCCGTCAAGAAAAATACTGCGTTAGAGGTTTTACGTTACAATCCAAAGGAGAGGCCGGAGGCGGCCCCAGATAATAACATTACATTTCTTATAAAAATCCCCAAATGAACAACGTCCTTGCCGGAGAACAGCCCGGGCAATGCAAAAAAACAAAACAAAACAAAACACACACACACAAATACCGGGGGCGAGCCCCCTTAGACCTTCGCCTGTAGGCACAGTAAATGCAAACGATGTGCGTCAGGGCCACGGTTTGCAAACCGCCGTCGTGGGCGCTCTTGAAAAAAACACGGGGTACGCGTTGCGCACTCTTATGTCACAGAGTCATAGAGTTACTTTAAATTACAATATACAACTTCTGTTAAATAGAACGGTGAGGGCTTAGATAAACAGGGGTAAGATTACAATCCTATGTACAAACCCGCGTCCGAAACGGCACGATGGCTGCCCGCCCCTCCCGCCTTCCTGTCCGACGGCCGGAGAGGACGAACAAAATGTGCGCGTCTACACGCTCCCTCCTCCTCCGAGGACGCCCGCAGCCTCACGCGGCCCCTCAGGGCGCCCCCTCGGCCGCGTCCACGCGGCTGCAGCCCCCAAATAGCGTGTTCCTGCCCACAGGCTCCGGAAGCCGCCCGCCCGCCGTGTGCTCCGGGCAAAGAGCCGCAGGTTTGGAAGGAAAAGGCCACTGCTTCTCGGTGCTGTCCCCCCCCGGCGTGGGGGCGGCCGGCAGGGCCCGGGGCGTCGGTCGGGATGGCCCCACCCCGCGGCGGCCCCGGCCTCAGTCCTCGGTGTCCGGCTGGACGCCCAGGATGGCGTGCAGCTCCTCGGGCGTGAAGCCCAGCAGGTTCTGCAGGTCGCACACGAAGCGGTACACGTAGCGCTTGCCCGACGTCTTGTGGATGATGTTCTTGTCGTAGTAGTAGCGGAGGCCGCGGCTCAGCTTCTCGTAGTTCATCTTGGGCTTGTTCTTCCGCTTGCCCCAGCGCCGGGCCACCTGCGGGGGAGACGGGGCGGGGAGAGCTCAGTCCGACCCCATCGGCCATTACCCGACGTGCTCGCCGGGGGACCTGCCCAAGGAAGGACCCCAGAGGTCCCGTTGGTGGCCTGAGGGCGGTCCCAGGGCGCGCCCCTCAGCTGGCTCTCCGAGGACCGAGGGTAAGGGGACCAGACAGTCCGGATGTTTAACAGTTTTTCCCTGCGTCCCACGGCGTTTTTTTAAAAAAAGTCCCGATAGTCGTTAAACATCTGGACTGTCCCGCCAAAAGCAGGACGATCTGGTCACCTTAACCAAGGGAGGGGCGGAGGGGAGTGTGGCGCCCCCACCCACAGTGCCGCCTGGTGCGGGGCTCCTACAGCCCCTCACTCAGCACAACCTCCCAGAAACCAAGGGCTCCGAACTGGGGGTCCTGAGGCCAGGGACAAGCTGTGCTCACCCCCCCGACCTCCCCCTCCTCTCCCACTCCGGTTTTTAGGGTCTTCCTCCCCCCAGCAGATGCTGAGTGGGGTTCTGAGCTGGTGACATCAGGGATCTCAGTGCTTCGGCTTCCCAGGGGCTGGGGAGGGGACGGGGCTTCCTCCTGATGGGCAGGGCTGGACCTGCCCCCGGCTCTCTCCTCCTGGCACGGCTGGGGCGGCTCCGCCCAGCTCAGCTGAGGGGCATAGGAGCCCAGCCGGTGTGCACACGAGGGGAGAACAAGGCTCCCTCCCCCCCAACAGGAACAAGCCAATCTCCCTAGGCCCTGCCCCACGGCCAGGAGGGAGCCTCGGTGTATTGCCTGCGCCTCTACATTCAATGACGGAGCAAGACGGATAGCAGGGCCGGGGCACACTCCCAGGCCGGGCCCCCCGGGAGAGCTCGCCTCCGTCCCGGGACCCTCTCCACGCCCGGGGAGCTGAGGGTGTGAACCCAAAGCCGGGAGAGCGGGGTCGGGCGCCCCAGACCGATCCCCAGGCTCTGGCCCTACCTCGTCGGGGTCGGCGAGCTTAAACTCCCAGCCGTCGCCGGTCCAGCTGATGAAGGACTGGCAGGACTTATCCGAGAGCAGTTCCAGCAGAAACTGCCACAGCTGGATGGGTCCACTTCCTGGAGAGGGAGAGGCAGTCACAGGTGTTATTGGTTTTTTAGAGGGGACGCAAGGCAGAGGCACTGAGGGGAGAGAAACACGGACTGGCTGTCTCCTCCATGCCCCCCATGGGGGATGGAGCCCCAAACCCGGGCATGTGGCCTGGCCGGGCATGAAACCGGTGACCTCTTGGTTCATGGGTCCATGTTCAACCCTTGAGCCACACTGGCCAGGCCAGCTGTCGGTTTTCACAGATTTAAAACACAGCAAGGTTGCCAAAAACCGATTTGGCTCAGTGGGTAGAGCATAGGCCTGCGGACTGTACCTTGGTTGCGGGCACATCCCTGGTGGGGAGTGTGCAGGAGGCAGCTGGTCGATGTGTCTCTCTCTCATCAATATTTCTAGCTCTCTACCTCTCTCTCTTCCTCTCTGTAAAAAATCAATAAAATATACTTTAAAAAAATAAAATAAAATACAGCAAGGCGCCAGCCATCCAGGTGACACAGACAGACTGCGGAACGTGAGCCCGATCCTGGTGCTGACGTGAAGGTGCCGCTCCAGGTGGTGGGGACAGTCCCGAACGCTAAGTGGGATGGATGAGGCTAGGTCCCAAGCAGAATCCCCGCTCCGGGAAAGGAGGCCACTGGCCCCGGGGGCCTGGCTTGGGTCTCTCTGGGGGAAAATTCAAGGCCACTGACTGCGGGCATCACAATCCCAAACCCCGTTCCTCCCGGAGTCACGTGCAGGGCTTGTTGCTATGGACGCCGGGCGGGAGGCGGGGGCAGGCAGTTACCCACGGGGCCACACGGTGTCTGTGGAATCCCGTGCTGTGGCTCTCTGGCCATGGGACGGTGGCTCCATTGCTTAAACCAAGACTCCGTTTCCTCAAGAGCCACTGAGCACTGGGCACGGCCTCCAGGACCTCGCCGCCTCCGTGGCCGCCGCCCACGCTCTGCCAAGCGCCCTTTCTCGGCCAGGATTTGGAACCACCGCCGTGTGGTCCAGCGGCAGGACCAAGACATGCTCAGAGGCCAGGGCCCTGCCGGTCACACGCCCATCCCAGAGCTGGTCCCCAGGACCCAGAGGCCATGGGCAGCGAGGTGTGGCTGCGGGCACCGAGACCAGCGTGCTGGGATCCACGGAACCGGCTGCCGGTGTGCCTGCCCAGGGAGCTGTGTCACCGGGCGCATTGCCCCATCTGTAAAATGGGTCAATGCCGCCCACGCCGGGCGGCCTGCCGACTCCCGACAGCACGCCTGGCGCACCCACGGGGCAGGGAAGGAACTAACATGGGACACGCCCACCCCGGGCCTGACCTGGGCATTATCTTATCGGGCCCCGACCCCCGGTGTGGGCACCATGGCCTCTCGCTCCCCCTGCGTGCCCTCCACACGCCTCCGTGGCCGGCTGTGTCTCAGAGGACAGCAAGGTGGCGTGGGTGCCACCCAGGCCTATTTTCACCCATCAGGGCTTGTACGTAGGTGCTTTTTAAATCCCCAAGGGCTCTATATATATAGCCAGAGTACAGGGGGAAGAGCTCATTTAAGGACGCATGAAGCAATTTTAAAAAATAAGTAAATAAAAATCCGGACATTTTTGCTAACATGCTGGAAATAATCTGGTTCCAAAAACAGCCCTGATATTTGTCCCCTGCCTAGAATAGCTCTCGCCCAAACCTTACAAATCAGAGGGGTTTTAGGAGCGGGGCAAGGTAAACAGGCCTGTGTTATTTGAGGCCGGCCGCGGCCCTCCCCGAGCCAGTTTACATTCTTTGAAATTCCTGGAGTGGGTGAGTCAGAGCCGAAGCCTCTGCGGCCTCAGTGCCCTCCTCCTCCTCCTCCTCTTCCCTGCCTCCCTGGGAAGGCCGAGAGAGCTGCGTGCCCTCCCTCCACACCGGGCAGCTGGCCGCTGTAGAATTCAGAGACGCAGCTAAGACGTGGCTCAGCGACCAGGTGTTTGGATGCAGGGTCACACCCCCCGGGCCAAACGCGGGGTGCAGATGCAATGTGCTCAGACCAGACCCGCCCTGGATAAACAAACACGGCTGGGCCGGGCAGGGCGCAGGGAAGGGGCGGCCCCCGGAGCCGCACACTCACCCGTGAAGCCGGCCAGCACGGCCGCAGGAATGACCGGTTTGCCCTGCTCGGCCGGGTCGTTCCTCTCCTGGATGTAGTCCTTGAAGGACATGGTGGGCTTGCCGGGGCCCAGGGCCTGGCCGCCATCCTCCTCGCAGCTCTCGAAGGAGGGCACCCGCTGCTCCAGCAGCGACGACTGGCTGCTCCAGGACTGCAGCAGGGAGTCCGAGCTCTCGAAGCTGTCCCCGCCCTGCTCCGAGGCGTCGCGGTCCCCGGGCTTCCCTGGCGGACAAGCAGGCACACGCTGTGACCCTCCGGACGGGGACACGTCGGCCCCGCCGCTCACACCTCACCGCGGGGTGTCGTGGACTCACTGGCGGCGGCATCGCTGCCAGACTCCCCCTCCCACGTGTGCCCTGCGGCGTACACCCAGTCAGACTTCAGGGTGCTCTGAAACCGAGGGCTGGGCCTGGTATGCATGCCACACAGACACACCTCCTTCCACAACAGCATCAATAAGCCATGCGGAGCTGCACGGGGCGGAGTACTATACAGCCGAGAAAAAGGACAAGAGGAGGGCCACATCCAACAGCATAGATGGATCTCAGACATGGTGATGAGTAAACACACACACACACACACACACGTGGCTCTACTTATATCAAGGTCAATAACAGGCAAACTATGATGATAAGAGGACAACCAATGGTTTCCGCTTGGGGTGGGGATGCTGCCGACGATGGGGAAAGGGTACGAGACCCTCCGGGCTGCTGGAGACCTGCCTCCACCGGATGCAGTGGGGTGCATGGGGTGGCCGGGACACAGGGTGCACAAGTACAAATTCAACCAGGCGTGCAGCCTGAGACCTGTGCCCTGTGTACACATCTCCGTCAAAAGAAATCTGTTCCCTTCCTACACGGCCTTCCAAAATACCCCACTGGGGGGAGGCATCGACTCCCGACAGCAACACCCCAGGCCCCGACTAACACCCCCAGGCCCGGACCAACACCCCCAGGCCCCGACCAACACCCCCAGGCCCCGACCAACACCCCAGGCCCCGACCAACGCCTTCAGGCCCGACCAACACCCCCAGGCCCCGACCAACACCCCCAGGCCCGGACCACAGCCTGGAGCCGGCCAGGCGTGCTTGCTGGGGGGATGGTGAGTGAAGCGGCCTGAGAGCCCAGGACACGGGCACAGCAGCAGCTGGGGTCGCCATCTGACGCGAGCCTGCTCCGAGGGTCGTGAGGAAGCTCCTTACCGGGACCGCCGGCCATCAGGTTCAAAGTGCTGCCGGTGAAGGCCTGCCTGACGGAGCAGTAGCCGACGCCGACCGTGCCGAGCGGGGCCTTGGGGAACATGGGAAACTCCGGCTCGGCGCTGAGGGCGCCGGGCGGGCACATGCTGTCCAGAAGGCTGGCTTTGGGGTAGCTCGGCGTCTGCATCCCGTACGGCGCCTGCTCCACGCCAAAGCCTGGAACAGAACCATCGACGGCGGAGCCGTTAGGCGACTGTGACCATCAGAGCCCCTTCACCCCTCTGCACACGAGCAGTTCCTCCATGGACCTGGGCTGTGACTGGCAGGCCGACTGGCACCTTCCCGAAATGCCTGTGGCCTCTGGACCCTGGGTGCCAGCCTCGGCATTAAATGTTTCAGTGGCTCTCGTCCAACAAGAGCTTTCTGTGACGGGCAGGAGGACAAAGGTCACTGGCTTTCGACCTCCGAGGACACTAAGGCTCGGACTGAGTGACACGCCTCCAATATGGCATCTCCGTTCCTGTCTGTGCTGGCTGTAACCTGCACGCATGTGCCAGCAGCCAGAGGGAGGAGCTGAATACCCCTACTCCCCTCTCAACGCCAAAGTTCAGAGCGAATTTGGTGGCGCTTTGCACAGACTTCCTGTGCCGGCCCAGCCGCCTCTCCTCTCTTATACTAGAGGGACCCCAGCACCCCCTCCCTGCATTCTGCCCCCCGCTCTGTGCGTGGTCTGGACCAGGCGGCCACTAGACAATGGTACATTTTCTGGTGGCCACACTAAAAAAGTAACACACACACACACACACACACACAAAAACCACAGGAGAACTTGAAAAATTTTACTTGAGCCTAAGTAATTTAACTGATCCATGATCAGTTCAACAGGTAATCAATATCTTTAAAAGTAGGAAGGAGGCCTGACAAGTTTAGCTCAGTGGATAGATCACTGGCCTGCAGACTGAAGGGTCCCAGGTCCGATTCCGGTCAAGGGCATGTACCTTGGTTGCAGGCACATCCCCAGTAGCGGTGTGCAGGAGGCAGCTGATCAATGTTTCTCATCGATGTTTCTAGCTCTCTATCCCTCTCCCTTCCTCTCAGTAAAAAATCATTGAAATATATTTAAAAAAATAAAAGGAGGAAGGAGATGTTTTACATTCTTTGCTTCTTACTAAGGCTCACACATCTGGTGGCGTTACACTCTGATCACACATCTCTGTGTGGAGGTGGGCCAGCCCCATTTCGAGCGCCCAGCGGCTTGAGAGCCACGTGACCACCATAGAGGTCTAGACGGTTTGGACTGTCCATGAACTACCAGGAGGACTTCCCACCAGGACGGCAGGGCAGGATCCAGACTGACCTAATGAGTTGCTGCTGATCCAATGGGGAACCGAGTTGAGGTGAGAATTTTCTTCATACGGATCTTCTGCCTTTTCCTGGTTCTCTGGAAAAACAGACACAGGAGAGGTAAGATGGCAGATCGAGGTTAAAACCACACAAGCAGCGCTGGCCACAGTTGTTCAATGGTTAGAGTATCAGCCAGGCCACAGAGGGTGGTGGGTTCAATTTCCGGTCAAAGGCACATGTGTGGGTTGTAGGTTCAATCCTCAGCCCCAGACTGGGGCATATTTGGGAGGCAATCAATCAATGTGTCTCTCACACATCCATGTCTCTCTCTCTCTCTCTTTCTCTCTCTCCCTCCCTCCCTCTTTAAAAATCAAAGGAAAAAATATCCTCAGGTGAAGATTAAAAACAAAACAAAACACACCAAAACAACACAAGAAAAAAAAGTGGCTTTCTGAATTGCCGCTTATGGTTATTTCAGGATAAGCCAACGCATCTAGTGGTTCCCATTTAATCTGACGGGTCCCGAGACATTACGTCTTTTACAAACTAGAGGCGGCAACTCACTTTTTAATGAGAGAGTTTTCGACATGAATGCCGCCATGGGCAAAGTTAAACTCCCCACGGCCCAATCGGAAAGACCCGGATGGTGTGCCAGTGAGCAGGGACATGGCGGCGAGTGCCCCCGGCACCGGAGGCTTGCGAGGGAGGAGGCGCGAAGGGCAGGCTCCCCACCCGCCTCCGAGAGGCCACGGCCGCTGTCTGTGGCCCTGAAAGGCCCCCAGGGCGTGGTGAGCAGCTGCACAGAGAGGGCCACGCAGGGACACACACACGTGCCCGTGGCCTCTGAAAGGGAGAAGGTTTGCGGTTCTGTATGCCTACTCCCTGCAAACACACTAACCACACACACGCCCACACACCCATAAACCCAGCCCACGGCCTCACCGAGCAGTGATGCAACAGACCCTCCCCAGAACCTTGCCAGGCCAGCCCTGTCCAAGGTCAGGGGCATGTCAGGGTCCTACAGTTACCCCGGCCTCGGGGCCACGCCGGCAAGGGCTGGGGCGGACGCCCACGGTCTCTGTGCGGCCGGGTCTCTGACAGATGCTGAAACTCATTTAAACCGGGAACAGGTCCCTGAACACCACAAAGAGGCTGGTTTCCTTCAGGTTTCCGCTGAAGGAGCCCTCACTACGATGTCTTTGTTTTTAACTCAATCTATGTTCGTCAGTGACCTCAAGGTCTGAACCAAGACTTTCTCTCTGTAGGATGACAGTGCTTGGCTGAGTGGCCAATTTTGTGGGTTTTTTTAATTTTAATATTTTTTTTATTGATTTCTTAAGAGAGAGGAAGGGAGAGAGTCAGAAACATTGATGAGAGAGAAACATTGATCAGCTGCCTCCTGCACACCCCCTACTGGGGATGTGCCCGCAACCAAGGTACGTGCCCTTGACCGGAATCGAACCTGGGACCCTTCAGTCCGCAGGCCGACGCTCTATCCACTGAGCCACACCGGTTTCGGCTGAGTGGCCAGTTTTTGTAGAACACATCGGCGTGGAGATCTATATCAATCATGTCCACGTTTGTTTAAAAAGAATACAATAAAAAACTTCTTTGTTGGAACCCGTTTGGACTTGGGGAAATCCACGGTACAATCCACGGGGTTTGTCTGAAAGGATCCCCGACGTGGAGGCTGAGCTACTCGGTTCGGTTCTGCCAGGGGAGCCTGGCCACGGGGGCGAAGTTCGTGGCCTCTCTGCCTGCGACCACACATCCTCCCTCCCCAATGCCGCCCAGCGACAGCGAACAAGGCAGTGACAGAGGCTAGGCCTTGGGGCCCTGCTCGATGCCACACACACACACACACACACATACACACACCGAGGTGGATTCAAACCCGTCATCACTGCACATGAGTCACGCCGGTGGCATTTGCAAGCACCGACCCCACCAGAAGCTCCGGCCCTCGCTCGCACGCTCCCCGCCCACGCGGGCACCTTTGATCAGCTGCTCCAGGTGCTCCCAAAGGATGTCGCCCACGAAGTCGGGTGCCAGCTCCAGGAAGCGCTCCTTGCCCAGGTTGCACAGCACCTGGCCGTTCATGCCGAACCTCTGCAGGTTCACGTTCACCAGGCTGAACTCGTTGGTGGCCCAGAGCAGCCACTGGCACACCTGCTGCTCCGTCCACAGCCAGGGGTCTGCGGGGGGGACACATGGGGGGGAGATGGAAGGAGGCGGTGAGACCGGAGAAGTCGCTCCTGGTTTTCCCACCGCGTCCACCCGGGCACCGAGGACCAGCGGCGTGAGCAAGACCCCCGGGGGACCTCTGAGACACGGGCAACAGCGGCCGGCTGACGGGGTTGGGATAAAAACTGGCTCGGCTTCCCCCGTCTCTGCCACCCTCTGGGAGCCGCCTGAAGATACAGCCATCGCGTGCCAGGGCAGCCAGGCTCGCCCGTCCAGGGGCACAGACCCCGCCCGGCGGCCTGACGGAGGCACTTACTCTTAGGAATGCCCAGCCGGCGCTGCTCCTTCTGGAAGCCGCTGAAGGTGGCCTTCAGGGCCTGGCTCATCACCGCCTTGCTGCAGGGCGTGAGCAGCGGCAGCTCGCAGCTGGCCGCGTCTGCGGAGAAACCGGGCGGGCGGACAGATGTTAGGATTGCGAGCTGGCGACCGCGGAGGGGCATTTAGGGTAAGGCGACCAGGCGTCCTGATCTTTAACAATTTGTCCCGCGTCCCGCGGTGTTTTAAAAAAGTCCCGACTTTTTCCACCGCGGGACAGCCGAAACCGGTTTGGCTCAGTGGGTAGAGCGTCGGTCTGCGGACTGAAAGGTCCCAGGTTCGATTCCGGTCAAGGGCATGGACCTTGGTTGCGGGCACATCCCTGGTGGGGGGTGTGCAAGCAGCAGCTGGTCAATGTTTCTCTCTCATCGACGTTTCTAGCTCTCTCTCTCCCTTCCTCTCTGTACAAAATCAATAAAATATATTTATAAAAAAAATAAATAAAACACCGTGGGACAAATTGTTAGAAATTGGGACTGTCCTGCCAAAAGCGGGACATCTGGTCACCTTAATTTAGGGGAGACGTCTAGATTTTAGCCAAGGATCATTTTGATCTCACTCCTTGACAATTCCTTAAAGGAGTATAACTAGTACCCGAAATTTCTTTTTTTTTCTTTTTGACTGAAATTAATAAACACCCCATCACGTCACTTATTAGAAAAAAACTCAAGTTGTAGCTTATGACTAGGTACTTCCCACAGCAGCCTCTGTGGAGATAAAAATGTCTAGCTGAATACTGTAGTCCAAGGGAAGTGCTTGATTTTGGGGCCAACGGCTCATCAGATGCATCATCTGAAGTCGAGTCCATGAAACTCAGCCACGGGCAGAGGCCCTCCGCCCTGTGACGCTGGCACACGTTCCACGTTTATTGAGAAACGAAACAGTCTCCCCCGGATCCCCTCGGCGATTTCAAGAATGATAGACGGCCGTCACGTGACGCCAGCGCATCAGCTTTCATCGATTCTCCGGGCCGTGTCTCCCAGCGCCTACTCCGTGTGACACAGTCACGCCTGGGATGTTTCCAGCTGACGACCATCCCGGCCACGGCAGAGGCGCCGCTGGCCTGCCTGCCGTCCGTCCGTCCGCTAGAGAGAATGGACGGCGGCTCGAAGGAGCACAGTGGTCCGTGCAGACGGGAAAGACCAGCCAGAGTCCCCTGTGGCCCCCAAGCCTCAGGGGAGGATCTAGCCCAGGGGTCGGCAAACTCCTCAGTCCGCAGAGCCAAATATCAACAGGACAACGATTGACATTTCTCTGGAGAGCCACATTTTTTAATCTTAAACTTCTTCTAACGCCACTTCTTCAAAACAGACTCGCCCAGGCCGTGGTCTTTGTGGTAGAGCCACACTCCAGGGGCCAAAGAGCCGCCTGTGGCTCTCAAGCCGCGGTTTGCCGGCCACGGGTGTAAGTGAACCCAGCATGAAAGCGGAGATGCATCTGACTGTGGCCTGGTCTGCTCTGGAGTGGCCCCAGAAAGCCGTGGGGGTGACACCCCCAGACGGAAACCTCGGGGTCCCCTGGGGTGTGCCAAGGGCGGGACATTGGCTCTCCCTGGGGTGCGTCTGGCAGGGAAGACCCAGAACCATCACACTCAGCAAAGGGGAGACGGCCCTGCCCAGGTCCGGAGCCTCCATCCGACCGTTCACGCGGAGACTCGAGACCCCGACACCCCGGCCCATCCGCCGTCCCCTCCGTCCCCCCCCCCCCCCCCCCCCGGTCCTCTGGGCGCAGTTTACCATGAGAGATGGCGTCCAAGCCCGTGGGCACTTCCTGGAGGGCCTGCTTCTCATTCAGGGAGGGGAAGATGGCAAACAGGGACCCGTCGAAGGTGTCGAAGGCCGGCTGGCGCTGCAGGGGGGACAGAGAGAAAACGGGAAGTTTAGTCTTTACTTCTGGAGCCACCGGTCTGGTCCGTGGGTCATCGGACCCCACAGCCGGATTAAACCGGCCACTGTGAACGCTCCCCTGGAGCGGACCCGTCGTGCCCAGATTTCTGGGTGGCCCACAGGTCATCGAATCCCCCTCACACGGAGGCCGAAAGGCCGGGAAGGTGCGTCTCAGGGCCTAGTCCACTGGGTTAGTGAATTAAGTACAGACACCCAGAAATGCGAGGATGCCAGAATGGTGCTGGGGGGTGGGGCCTCAGAGCCACCCGCCCCCAGCACCTGCCTTCCTGTGACATCATCGGGGAGCCAGGCAGACAGCGGGCCAGCGGGGAATGAGCTTGGCAAGGCCGCTGTTTTGAAATGTTTACGATGAAAACACTTTAACCACAACGGGTGCTTTTCCTCAACCATCCCAACGGCCCAGGGAAGAGTGAAACACACCAAATTCCCGCAGGGTCCCCATCCTAAAAGTAAAGCGGGTTAGTCGAAACCGGTGTGGCTCAGTGGGTAGAGCGTCGGCCTGCGGACTGAAAGGTCCTGGGTTCGATTCCGGTCAGGGACAAGTATAATACCTTGATTGCGGGCACATCCCCAGTAGGGGGTGTGCAGGAGGCAGCTGATGGATGTTTCTCTCTCATCCATGTTTCTAGCTCTCTATTCCTCCCCCTTCCTCTTTGTAAAAGATCAATAAAATGTATATTTTTTTAAAAAGTAAAGTGGGTTAGAGAGAACTCCCCGGTCCCACACTCCCTGGGGGGACAGATCCCAAAGGGAACCGCTTTAAGGTTACACGCACGCCCGCGGCGGGGAAGGCGAGGAGAGAGACACACAGAAAACTTCTCGCCCATTTCCGATCCTCATCGAAGATTCAGCCAAGCTGGAGCCTTGGCGGGCCGGAGCGGTTAATAAGTAACAGCGACGGCCTCGGTTCCTCACTGCCCAGCCGGCCCAGGGAAAAATGGTGAAGAAAGAGTACTTTTCCAGCAGGGACTGGGGCTCCCGCGCTGTGTGTCACGGAATGACACGCGCTGAGTCATCGCTAAGACAATGTGTAACTCATTTACAAATAAAATCAGCTCATGTGCTTTCGTTTTAGAAATACAGAACTGCGGATGACACATCACCCTGTGGGCGGGCAGAGGGGGGAGCTGGCCCCAAACACTCCACGCAGCCCCGTCCCCCCAAAGCCCAAGGCGGTGAGGTCCATCAGGTGCACCGAGACACGGAGGGAGCGAGCCCTCGGGAAGCGCACGCGTGCAGTGGATTAAGAAGCCACGGTATTGCTTTGGACTGACTGTGCGTAAAATAGCCAACTGACTTTTTTTTTTTTTTTTTTGAATTCTTAGATATATTTTATTGATTTTTTTACAGAGAGGAAGGGAGAGGGATAGAAAGAAACATTGATGAGAGAGAAACATGGATCAGTTGACTCCTGCACACCCCCCACTGGGGATGTGCCCGCAACCAAGGTCCATGCCCTTGACCGGAATCGAACCTGGGACCCTTGAGTCCGCAGGCCGACGCTCTACCTACTGAGCCACACAGGTTAGAGCTAGCCAACAGAGTTTGAAAATCCCCACTTGCTCTGCCCAGCTGACTAAGAAATGCCTTCGCTTCACTGACAGCACGTTCTTTTTTTAAAATGAGGAAGTGCAAAGACAACACCAATCCAGCCGCCTATCTCTGCATGTCCACTCCGGGACCGCTGCCCCCAGCCTGGGGGTCGCAGGGACACCGTCGAACGCCCTGGATTCACAGGGGAAGTTTCTTTTCTTTCTTTTTTTTAAAAAAAATATACTTTATTGATTTTTTTTTTTTTTTTAGAGAGAGGGAGGGAGAGGGATAGAGAGTCAGAAACATCCATGAGAGAGAAACATCGATCAGCTGCCTCCTGCACACCCCCTACTGGGGATGTGCCCACAACCAAGGTACATGCCCTTGACCGGAATCGAACCCGGGACCTTTCAGTCCGCAGGCTGACGCTCTATCCACTGAGCCAAACCGGTTTTGGCTAGGAAATTTCTTTTCAAGGGTTGTGCCTTGCAACTTGGTGCCGCCACAGCTGGCCCGCATCCGAATACTCGGACCACACCGACAAGGAATGCCCTGTCGGCCGCCATCACACTGAAGGGAGGCCGGAGCCCAATTCTGGCTCTTAGGGCTCCACAGACAAATGACCTCCCAGGGACCTGGAGCAACCGGGGCCCGCCAGAGCCACACGTTGGCACAAAACCCCGAGCTCAGAGGAGGCCGATTGAAAACCGCTGCTCCCGAGACGTGTTGGCCACACACAGCGAACAGCGTTGGGTCTGAGCTGCCGCGGACGCTCCCCGGAGGAATGAAGACAGAAGCAGCACTCCCTCCACGTCTAAAGCTGCCTTCCCCTCGTCCCGGGAACCCAGCTCCCGCTCCGCCCCACCGAGAGAACCACAGGCTCATTATCCACCCACCGGGCCGGGGTCTCAGAAACAAACCCCCAGGGCCTAGCCTTCTACAGAAGCAGCGGCTCCGATCTCAGAGGACAAGCAGCGCAAGCATCAGGATGCCCATTTCACAGATTAGAACACTGAGGCCCGGGGAGATCCAGCACACAGTCCAGAGTCACACAGCCAGGAAGTTAGACGCTGGGGCTTAGAACAGGTCCTCTGGGACCCCACCCATGGTTTCCTGTTTGTTTGTTTGTTTGTTTTCTTCTTCTAGAGATTGAGCTTCAAAAAAAAAACAACAAAAAAACACACAAAAAAACCAACTATTAGTGATCACTCACCTTGAGCGTCCCTCTGTAACTGTTAGCCACAGGGGCTACCTGGTCCATGTTCTTGATTCCAAAGTCATTCATCTTTAAAAAAAAAAAAAAAAGAGAGAGAGAGAAAGGGGGAAATAGTCAGAGGCAAGCACTCCTTTCATAAGGCATCTTCCTTGGCAGACCCCCCTTCTCCCCTCCCAAGTCAGTCAAATTCTACAGCGTAAAACATCCCTAAGCAAAAGCACTCAGAACCGAGCGCCAGGGATTCTTATTTATTTATTTTAAAATATATCTTATTGATGTTTCACAGAGAGGAAGGGAGAGGGACAGAGAGCTAGAAACACTGATGAGAGAGAAACATCGACCAGCTGCCTCTTACGCACCTCCCTCAGGGGATGTGCCCGCAACCAAGGCACATGCCCTTGGCCGGAATCGAACCTGGGACCCTTCAGTCCGCAGGCCGATATTCGATCCACTGAGCCAAACCGGTTTGGGCAGGGATTCTTCTTTAAAAGGCCCTTCACAGGAAGGTTGTGATGTTATTGCAGCTGCTCAAGGATAACGCGGGTCCCATGGATTCTATCGATACTTAGAGACGTGGCGCCCAGATAGAGGCGCTCGCTCTCCGTGGGCTAGACTTCCAAGGCAGCCCCTGCCCCTCCCCGAAGGGGCTGCTGTTCGGAGGGGCTGCAGTTCGAGGGTGGGGCGTGGGGGAGACCCAGAGAGGTGCCAGGGGACATCCTCAAGGGTGACTCCCTCCCCCACCCCCCCAGGCATATCCTGACCTGGGAAAGCATGCTGGGTGGGGCCAGAGGCCCTTCCTCTCATGGGAGGGAGCTCTGGAAGATCCAAGGGAGAACAGTAGCTTCACACCAGACCCTCTCGGGTCCCCCCTCCTCCCCGATCCTCCCCCAGGTCCTCGGTCCCAGGTCCTTCCGTGCTCCATACAGGGCTCCAAACATGTTAGCTCCGAGTCGCTCAGCTGTGCTCGCCCTCAGAGGAGATTCCAAGTGCGGATCTGTCTGCCTCACTTGCCTTGACAGCCCCTGGGCTTAGATGGACCTGCGCTCCCCAGGGGGTGGCCACCAGCCACGTTGGGCGGCCGGGCGGCTGGCACGTGGCGGAGAGGGCCAGGGATGCGCTTTACATGTCACATACACACGAAGGTTTCCAAGATCTCACAGGAAAAAGAAAAAAACGATCCCAGCATGAATGTTAGGTTTACTGCGCGTGTATGGAGCCGCTTGAATGTATTTGGCGAATGGAAATATACTGAAATCCAGTTCGCCTGTTTTGTATATTGAACGTCACTGTGACAGCACTGATAGTTACACATGTGACTTGCAATTGAACCTTGCTGGGGTAGGCCGAGAACGGATTGGGGCCCTAAACTGTAATTGGCGGGTTATATATTAGAAAGGGAGAAGGGTACATAGATAATGCCACCAGGATGCTAGAGACGAGAAACGAAAACGAAAATTCATTTTCAAATAAGCTGGGTTAGCAGAGCTGAGAGTAACCTTTACCCTACTGGCTCTCTGGCCGGGAACGGAAGGCTTATGGAAGGAAGGCTTACGAGGCAGCTTTGGGGTTGGCAGCTTTAGGGCTGGCAGCTTTAGGGCTGGCAGCTTTAGGGTTGGCTAATGGCACCCTCCCGCCCCGCCCGTCTCCGCTGGGCGTTCCAGCGAAGGCCTTCGAGTAATTAAAATATTGCTTCAACCGTTGCGCAACTGATAATAGCGCTTACGGGAGGTGGCGGGGAGCATATTTTCCCCTAATTGGTTTTTTTATGCTTTCTTGTTTTATCTTTACGATCAATGTTATAGCTGAACCAGACTTCCCAACCACACACGCACACACGCGCACACGCACACACAGGAATGCACACACTCCTCTCCTGGCTGGAATGGCCGCGTGGGAGGGAGGTGAGTGCCTCAGGGGAGGCCAGAGGCCCTGCAGAGGCTGTTAAACCCTCCAACCCTCTGAGTGCCAGTAATGGGGGGGGGGGGGAGAGGAGCCTGGGGGACTGGGAGTGATAATGGTTCTGTGGGGGGAGGGGCTGTCCCGGATCAAACGCGGCCACATTTGCTCAGCCTCCACTTGGTGAGCCTGTGCCACCCGCATGTGCTCAGGAACCAATATTCCTGCGACGGTGGCTGCACGGACAGCCCCCCTCGCCCAGGGCCGGGCCTGCCATCCCGGAGGGTGGATGTGACCCAGGGCGGCCCAGGGGCCTCCGGGAGAAGGCGGGGGCTTCTCCGGGGCGCAGTGCGGACCATGTGGCGGCGGGAATAACCGGAGGGGTGGGGCCTGGGCCTCCTCCCCCGAAGTCCGACAGATCAGACAGCACCCGGATGCCATGAGCCCGGCCCCTGCATGCTCCTCTTTACGGGGGAGAAAAAGGCTCCTTCTCAGCTTTCTGTCACGTGTCTGAATGGGGACCTGTTGATTACATGCACGAGCCAGCCGCACACAGGAGACCAAACTGCCAATTATCCGCCCAGGCCGCCGCCGCTGCCGCCTCCTCCTCCTCCTCCTCCTCCTCGGCCCGGTGACTTGGGAAATGGAGAAGGAGGTCCCACCTTCGCCGAGCGGCAGAGAATGGATGCGGAAGGCGGTGGGAAGGCCGGGCCGGGGTTTGTGTACAAATACTGGGAGAAAAGGCAGGCAGTCTGCCCGCCCACACAAAGGGCTGTAATGACTCCTTACAGAACAGAATTCTTTGTTGTCCAGCTTTTAATGTGTTTTGGTTTTTTTTTTTTTTGTAAGAACCATGCAGAATCAACGTGGGTTCGGGCAGGCACAGAACTAATCAGGTTTAAGTTCACTTCTTTTACTCAACATGGCTCCGCAGGGTGGCAGACAGGCCGAGAGCCCGCTCCACGTATTAATAAACCAACTTCAATTTCAAGTGCGGGTCCTTTCGGTGCTGCCCTTTGGGTCGCTGCTTAGGGGGGGGGAGGAGAGAGGGGGGGGAGGGAGAGAGAGGGGGGAGGAGGGAGAGAGGGGGGGGAAGAAGTAGGGGGAGAGAGAGAGAGAGAGAGAGAGAGAGGAATGAGAGAGAAAGAAGAGAGAAAGAAGGGAGGAAGGAAGGAAGGAAAAGCAAAGAGGCAGACATGTAAGTGCTGAAGACGGCTCCTTGCCTGACACCCGTGCCCCTTCTGGGAACCAGTGATCCCTTCTGTGAGAGCACACAGGCTTGCGCTTAGGCCAATTTGGAAAGAAAAAGAAAGGAGCTCCCCGCCCCCCCCGCCCCCGCCCCCATCCCCATCCCCATCCCCATCCCCATCCCCAATGAAGGTTGGTGCGCCTTTTCCTCTGAAAACTGCCACTTGGGTGAGAGGAATGACTAGCCCCGCAGTGAGTGTGTGCTGTCGTCCCCTGCGGGACCCGCGGTGCTCCAGGCACTGCGCTGTGCTCTCACTGGGCGTTTTAATAAACCTTAACTGGGAGATGGATCTGCTGATGGTGGCGGGCGGCGGGCAGATGGCCCGGGCGCTGCCGTTGTGGGAACACACCATCCCGGAGTGGCCACCGGCCGGCAATTACCCTTATCTCCAAGGGGACGGCTCAGCCTCACTTTCTGACCAGGAGCGCACCACTGTGTAAGACGCCTTGAAAGCGAACACAGGCCAATGTACAAAGTCCCTTTGCTTAAACAAATAACCCAAACAACCCTCAAATGCACAAACGCTCGCTGAAACCTTCATTAAAAATAAAGACAGCCCCGCGCCCCCGGGTCCCCCTTCCGCACCAGCTCCGGGCGCACGCCCCCAGGCCCGGCCCCACCCATCCCTCCCTCCCTCCCGGGCGCCGCCCTCGGGGGTCTCGCCCTCCAGGCCGGACCCGCGGGCCTCCCCGCCGGCGCCGGCCCGGGCCCGGCCGCGGCCGCGCAGGTGACCCGGCCCCGCGCTCCCGGGGCCGCGGCTCCAGGTGTTGGGGAGGCGGGCGCCCGGGAAGCCACCCGCAAACCGGGGCGCCGGGGTCCCCATTCTGAGTCCTTCCTGCCCCTCCGCGGAGTCAGACCGCCGGCGGCCCGGCAGGAGCCCCCCGAGGCCCCGATTCCCTTAAAAACAAAAGCAAAGCGAGCGGAACCGGCCGGCGCGCTCCCGCCGCGGGGGATCGGCCACCCGGGCGCCGCGGCCCGAGTTCGCCCCGGCCCCGCGCGTCCCGCCTCGGGCCCTCCCCGTCCCCGGCCCGGCCCGGCCCCGCGGCCCGGCCGCCCCCAAATCCCCCCGATCCCCAGCCCCGGCCCCGGGGCCCGGAGAGCACGGAGCCAGGCGCGCGGCGCCGGGCCCTGGAGTCGCCGCCCCCGGCCCGGACCCCGGCGCCCGGCCCGCCGCTGCGCCCCCGGCCCGGGCTCCGAACCCCCGGAGCCGCACCGGGGCCGGGGCCGGAGCCGCAGCCGCAGCCGGAGCCGGAGCCGGAGCCGCTCCGCACCGCCCCCACCCCGCGCCCGCCCGCCGCCCCGCTCTTACCGCGCCGCTTCGGGCAGGGCCGGCGGCTCCGCGGCCCGGGCTCCGGGGGTCCTCGGGGGGGTCCTCGGGGAGCGCGGGGGGGTCCGCGGCCCGGGCTCCGGGGGTCCTCGGGGGGCGCGGGGGGCTCCGGGGGTCCTCGGGGGGCGCGGGGGCGGGCGGAGGCGGGCGGGCGGGCGGCGGCTCCGGCGCTCCGGGCTGGGCTCCTGTGCGTCCCGCTCCGCCGGCGGAGGAAGTAACCGGCCGGCCCTCCGCGGCCGGCTCTTCAGGATCCGGGCGGGGCGGGGGGAGGGGAGGAGGGGCGGAGGGCGGGGCGGAGGGCGGGGGGAGGAGAGAGGGCGGGGAGAGGAGCGGAGCCGACCGGGTAGGACGGGGCCGGGTTGTCCGGGGACCTCGCCGGCACCCGCGGTCCCCGCTGCGCCGCGCCGGTGGTGGCCCGGGAGGGGAGGGGAGCGGGGCGGAGAGCCCCCATGGGTGTCCCCCCCGTTGGTGTCCCCCCCCCGGCCTCGTCCCGGGGATCTGGCCTCAAACCGCCCCTCCCGATCGGCAGGAGCGAGGCGCCGGGGCCAGGGGCCCGCGCGGCCCGGACGTGGCTAATGAGGCCCGTTCTGGGACCCC